TTACTATGTATAATAAACATGTATATAGGACGCGACGTGTTACACACACATACACACACACACACACACCTACAAACGGGGCACACACTAGTCCAATAAGCCAACTGTTAGGGTCGTGATACAGCATATTTCAAAAGTTATAGCTTCATAACCAGTGCCCTTTTGCTGTATGATTTGTTTCTGGAATGATTTATTTCAAGAGCGGCTGTATGCAATTTGTTTCAGGAGCCTTACACGCCCTACACAGCATATCCACCATCCACTGTATTGACACCTGGACAACAAGCTGCCTGTCAAACGCTAGGTTTGAAGAAGTTTTTGCTTATATCACCTCTCAGCTGAGTGTATTTAAAGAGGTTTTGCGTGCGGAGCTATTGAACAGTAACAGGCCCATACTAAATTCACCCACTCTTTTGCACGAAAAAATTCCTGTTGCATTGATCAGAGCTTGGCTTTCTGAAGCAATTTGCATCGTTTAGCTTTTGTTTCAGTTTTATTCGCCTGTAAGTTAAGATTTCCAGAAATTCATGTTAACAATGCCTAGCTAGCTGCCTCTACCACGCCAAGATGAAGCGCCTGGATTGGAATTTTGCGGGATTTATTGAAAATATTTGTTTTTTTTTAATGTTTTTCTTTTCATATAATTATTTTGATTCTTTGAAAAGCGAATGAATTGTCACTGCGCTCCTTCACGTCGCCTGTGCTATGGGCAGGTTTTCTGTTATGTTAGTTTTTGAACCACCGTACTCATCGAAAATGGGATCGGAAATAAACACAAAAAATAGTGTTATTGGGCTTATAGACATTTTTATTGGTCTAACACTACGACTGTCATACTGACGAGGTCCAGTCGCTGTGTTGAGCTAAGACGTATATGACTTAATGAACCGGAACGTCTTAACTCATTCATACTTAGTTCTTTCACACTAACTCTATATCCACATCCATCCATACTTAGTTCGCTCCATGCCTTCCCTCCCTATGCTCTCAATATGTATTTGCATGCCACAGTCATGCTCCATTCAGCTTAGAATCACCGTCAAAAAGAATCTCTGTTGTGAATAGCTCAAAATTCGATAGATCCGACTACTTCTGTGAAACGCATTTGTCATTTATATGTTTTTTTTTAAGGCGTGGTTTGCACAGAAAAAGCGTTGCCTGTGCTGAATTCGATCAAAAATGCAAGGAAAAAACATAGCGCTGAGTTCCAGAAATTTGATGAACATATTTGGAAACATTTTCAAATTAACGGGCAGGTGAGTCGTCGCATTATCATACTTATAATAAGACGGGTAAGTTAGTTTTTTGTTAAGCTGATTATCGCATGATTGTAGCATGAAAATAATACGAAGAACTTAAAAAAGAAAGCAAGAATAGAACGAATTATGTAATGCAAGATGTAGAAATATTGCTGGTACAGGAAAATTAAGTACGAGAGAGTTAAGACGTTTCGGTCCATGAAGTCATATACGTCTTGGCTCAACACCGCGACTGGACCTTGTCAGTATGACGATCGCAGTGTTCAGGGATGAGAAGAAGAGGGAATGAAACGCCGGAAGAAAGAAGAAGATAGGAACGGGAAGAATTTTTTAAAAAATATAAATTTAGGGTATTTGAAAAAGATTAGGCGGTTGTAATGTAGAAGTGGAAAAGTGTTGAGAGGAGGAAGTAGCAGTAAACGGAGCGCTAAATCAGCTAGCAAGTGAGTATAATCTCTGATCAGTGCATAAGTGTGCGAGATTTTCAAGCTGACGAACAGATGAGTTGAAATGTTGAAAATCTAAGCTGAATTGTGATTTTATTGATTAGTTAAGTCAAACTGTCAAATCGGCGAGCAGGCAGGGCATATTGTCACATTCATTTTAGGTGAATTATACTACCAGATTAATGGGCAAATGAGTCAAAATACTATAAGCCAATAGGGTAAGTGGGATGGGGGGGAGACGGCGGGGGGAGGGGGACAGATTTTTATACTGGTAGGCACTTGTGAATGTCAGTGGCTCCTTTCTCCGGACAGTGTGTTGGAAAGTTTTAATAACGGATGAAATAAGAAGGATCAAAATGGAAGGTAGGAGATGAGAATTAAAAAATTAGTGAATTAATAAAATTATTTTTTTGTGATTTTTAATAAAATTTTGTAAATTGATAAAATTATTTTTTGCAGTTTTAATAAAATTTTGCAAATTAATGAAATTAATAAAATTTTTTTGAGAAATGTTTTATTCATAGCCAGCCGTCTAGTCCCTCCATTCTTCGCGTCGCCCATTCAAAAATTCTCCCCACAGAATACTGGAGGCAGATAACAACAATGTTGACAAATTCACAAACAGCGAGTTTTTCCGTCAGTGAAGTGCACATTTGAATTCTAGAAAGCATAGCGCGGCAGCATTCATATAGAAATACGTTTTCGCCCATTTCTTGCGTTTTATGTAGCACTACGTAATCGTTATTTGCATTGCCTACTGCTAGTTACAGTGACAGTTGTTCGTTCCACCTAAACTTAGTTTTACAAAATGCGGCATAGTATTTTCTGGGACTTCTTGAATAGTGTTTTCTCCGCGTGATATTTCGACACATTTCATTTTCCGTGGCATCTCGGAGGAGTCTTTTTTGCATAATCTCTGCTACCTGTTTTTCTGGAGCTTCCTGGAAACGCAAAATTGTGTTTTTCGTTTATTAATATCACTTCAGTCAAAAGCAAGCAGGATTCAGCTCCCCCAGTGGAACGACTAATTTCAATAAGACTTGCTAGAGGTTCCCGGCATCAGTGCCGAGAACTTCTGATTTTTCCTTGCTATTGCAGTAAATTATCCGTTTCAGGACGATCGCACATTCTCATGGAAAATGGGTGTTCGGCAGAAGCTTCTAGCACTGATTCGTGAGGTAATCACTTGATTCACACTTTCTTTAATCATTCCACATCTGTTATTTGATGTTTGATCATCTACGGTTTTTGATCGGGCGGCATCATAGCGTGTCAACAGCATAGTTGGGAATATCGCTAGTGCTACGACCAGAAATAGATCCGCTTGTTGATTAGCCCACTAGCAGTCTTGCGATAGCATTTACTTTGTTTTCTTCATCCTTTTGGAGAGGGATTCCTGTTTTACCATATTTTTTTCGCTTCACCCCCTTCCTCTTATATTTCTTCATAACAGTTGTTTACCCGTGCAAAATGTGTCAAAAATCTTTTTAGCTAAAAAAAGATGTGCCAAAAAAACCAAAAATCCAAAATTTTCAAAGCCATCGAGTCTTGAGATAGTAGGTCCATGAGTGTTGCGGTGATAAGTGGGTGCAACTACACTTTGCTTCTCTTCAGACAGTAATTTACAGGTTTTTCCGGAGGCAGATTTAGTAGCTGTTGGCTCAACTGTCAATGGATGTGGTTCGTACAACTCAGACATGGATTTATGCCTTTGTCTACCCATCACTGCTAATGGTTTTGCAAGCGAAAGAACGTGAGAATCAATTTTTTTGCACTTGATATAGCGTATTTTTTGTTTTTCTTTTAAATATTTTCTTGTTTCAAGTAATATTTTCTGTATTTTCTACTTGTTGGATGATTTATTGATCGGGCGAGTACAGTAAATTTTTGGAATTGAAACTGCGAAATTTTTATGAATATTTGTTGAGGAAAATCCGTTTTATCATGGAATTAAAGAAAAAAAATTTACTGTATTCATGAAATTAAAAAGAAAAAAAAACTGATTGGTAATGTTTAGTTAATGTGGTAATTGCTGAAAATATTTTTAGCCTCAGTAGAAAAGTGTTAATGAAGTTGCATCGCAGATTTTGTAAAGATTGGCGCAAATTGGTTAAAAGTTGCGATTACATACCTGCTAAGGTAAGATACAGTTTTTGCTGTGATATTTTAAACATCGCCATTCAACACGGTTTTTAGCTGGCCTCATCCAAATTACTCCTTTTAAGTGAATTTTTCCATATGCCGTTTTCTCTGATATTTTCTGATATTCTGCAATATTTAGAAAAGCTGAGGGTATGAAATGAATCTTTGCGCTGTTCGATGTTAAGGCAGTTTCGTTTTCTGTTCAGATTTGATGTTCGATCTTGAGGATACTG